AATGAATAAATATTTATTTTTGGAATCTAATCGAGAAAGAGCAAAACAGAAAAACAAAATTTAATCTGTTTTGTTTTAGTAAATAAAAGGATTTGGGAACCAAAATAAATTTTGAATGAAAATCATGTGAATAAATTAATTTAAAATAGAGAATAATTATTCAAAAAGAAGTACATTATTCTGAAAAAAAATTTTTTATTTTTATTTTTATCATCAAACATAAAAAATTACTTTAAATATTTATATAAAATAATTGAAAAATTATCTTGAAAAATTAAGGCTAGCAAAATATGTATATATGTACATATGGTAATTCATTTTTCTTCTACTTTAGAGAAGAAATTTAATTTAAGTTTTAATTTTATTTTTATATTTTTCCTTATTCAAGATTTCATTATTTTCGCCTTCCTTTCAATATTTTTGGCAATTGGCAATTTTTCATTTTTAATATAAGAAATTTTCTTATAAATTAAAATTGTTTTTTTCAATTTTTTCCATATTTTGCTATTCTTTTCAATATTTTTGGTAATCCTTTAAAATATTTATTTTAATATTTTGCAGACTCATGATCTTGTTTTTCTAACATATTTATATACTAAAACACAAAAATAATAATAATTTTATACGACATTTTAACTCATCTTTAATCCTTAACATTTAAATACATAAAAACAAAGTTAAAATAAAATTCTTTTTTGTAAATAAAAAAATAATTTTAATTTTCAGTTTTTTCTAATCATTTCAGAAATTACATAAAATTTAAATTATTATCCAAAATAATTATGAAATTAATTAAATTTTTCTTTTTATTTTTCTTTTTATTTTTATTTGCATCATGCCGTAAAGTACCTTTTATTCCTGATCCAATACACAACAAAAATAAAAACTATTTTTATAATACCACACAAAAACCTGAATAATTATTGTTAGAAAATGCTCAAGAAAGAAAGATAACATAAATATAGGGAAATAAAAGGAAATAAAAATAATCAAAAAATACACTCTGTCCTCGATTTTAAATTCCGTTGAAAATTAAAAATGAGAAAGTACCTTAAAATGGATGTATCGCTTAATCAAATGCCCAACGCAGTGGTAACCCAGAATTAAAATTAAATTTTGGGTGTATTTAAATTCGAGGGCCGCCTGTATAAACGAAAATTTTCAATTTATTTGAATGAAAAATTTTCTCTGATTTTTTTAAATTTTTTGTATGAATAAAAATTTTTTTTTATTTTTAAATTAAATATTTATACGTACAATGGATTTTGTGTTATAATACCTTTATTTTATTAATCTTATACAATGAAATTCTCATTTCTTACTAAATTTAAATTCACTGAAATTAAGAAAATGTTGATATTTTACTAAATAAAATATTATTGGAAATACAAAATATTTAATTATTGTGTAAATTAAATAAAGCAAAAACCTAAATAAAATAGGAAAAAAATAATTGAATTTTTTTACAAAAAAACAGTAATTTACTTGAATCTTCTTGATTTTCAGATAATAAACTTCATAAAAAATATTATATTTATTTATTTTATTAAATTGAAGAAAGAAATATAAAAAATGAAATTAATTAAATTATTCCTTATTATATTAATTACTATTTTATTATTTTCTATTAAATGTATATCGAGTCGTTGTACACCTACAGGGTCAAATAAACTACACAATCGTTTATGTATTCCTGGAAAGTAAACTTGAGGTAAAATAATGATTAACTGAATTTAATAATAGATAAAAATAATTAAGTATTAACGAAGAAAATAAAACTAAAAAAAACAAAAAAAGAAAAAGGGTAAAAGAAAATAATGAAATTTTAATCTTTTGCTTGTTACATTTTTGACTTTGTTATAGTGAATAAATTGTTAATTAACTAAAAATAAAATAATTGAGAATTAGCAACAGGGATTCAGCAGAATTCCGCTTTTTTACCCTTCCGCTTCGGCCTTCCGCTTTATATATACACAATCACATGTACATATTTGTACACTGGTATTGGTATTCCAAATTTGGTATTATTCCAAATTATCCGTATTGGTATTCCAAATATAATACCAATATTGTATTCCAATATTTGTATTATATTGTTATTCCACAATTCTTTAAAAAATTTAATGACAAAGTAGAAAGAGAGGGACAAAGTAGAATTTTTCAAATAAGTACCAAGGATGGGCCCTGTAAAATTCAAGTTCGCTCCTCCTCTTTGTCATTCCTTAATTTGTACACAACGGTAAGACTTTCTTCCTCAATTCCACACTTTTCCCTGTGGCAAAAAATATAACAATAAATACTGAAAACTTGAAAATTAAATCGCTTAAAACTTGGAATTTTTAGTCTCAAAAAATATTATTTTCTTTTCAAATGCATTTATTTATACATATGTACATAGCATAATTTTAATTATGTACAAAAAATGATTAAATTAAAAATGAAAGCTGTTTAATAAGGTTGTCGGATAGTTGGAAATCTTCGGATATCTGGATCGGATGTCCGAAACGAAAATTTCAGGATATTCGGCAACCCTACTGTTCGAGCTTTTTAATACAATTTCTTCAAATTTTTCTTTTCATCAAAAGTTTCGTAAATTCACCAAAAGTTAAATTTTCTATACTATTTTTTACCATTTCTTCGATATATTCCTCTTTTAATTTCATATTTTCTGCAGATTTTATTTTACGAAAAGAATTATTGAGAAAATCTTTTTTTGTATAATTGTCAGTAGAATAATGTCTAAAAAGACTTCCCTCTGATAAACTTTTACGGAACGAATTTAATAATTTATCAGATTTTTCTTTAAAAGAAAAATTAATGTCAAAAGAATTTGTTTTTCGAAGAGATTTAATTAAATTCGAATTTATAGTAGGCCATTTTTTGTAGGTTTTACTTTTAGGTAATGAAGGTTTTGTGTTTTTATTTTCTTTTAATTTTTTATTATCAATTGTTTCTTCTTCAAATATTTTTGTTTTTATTTCGTTTACTTTAACAATTTTATTGCAATAATTTTTTAGAAATTTTTTAATTTTTTCTAACATTTCTTTTTTCATAAATGTTGAACAAAAATCTATAGCATACAAAACATCTTTTATTCCAAGTACTTCAGATTTATTTTGAATTTCTTCTATTAATTTAATTTTCTCTTCTGTTTCCTAAATATAATTTTAAAAATTTTTTCTCTAATTATACAGGGGTTTGAAACAGATTTTAAAAAGTGAAGGACGAAAGACAAACAACTAAAAAGGCGAAAATTTGGGGAAAAAACGGAATTCGGTGGAAGACGGGAGCGGAAGAAAATCCAGCCCTGATACATATGTATCTTTCCAATTATTAAGGGTTTTTTTTTCTTTCCCATTCCCACACTGAAGTTTGAAGACTTGTTTGAGGAGTTTGATTTAATTTTTAACTTTCTTGTCTGGTAATTATTTCCAGCAAAATTAACGCGAAAGGTTAAGACTTTATAGATAAGGACAACCTGACTTGGAACCTCTAGCTTTGTAGACTTATATTAGGTAAGTTCGGGAATTACAGTTATTTTCCCATCTTCCCAACTTCACATAAATTCAAAATAATTTTTTCGTTTAAAGAATGACGACTAATTTAATTTAAAATTTAAAAAAGGACCTGTGATTTTTGTTTTTGCATTTTTAGGACGTATTTCGTTCTATTCAACTCCAAAAACTCTTTATAATTTTCAAAATAAAATTCTTTATTATCACTATTTTTTATATTATTCAAATAAATTTTAATTTCATTCAGTTTATCATCATTTATAGTTGAAGCAACACTATAAAGATTATTAAAGCCAGACATTTCTAGGAGTTGATGTTTTTCAATAAAAATTTCAATATTATTTTTGTTAGCTTTAACAAATTCAATTAAAAATATAAATAATATAAAAAATTGAATTATCTTTTGAATAATCATTTTCTGAAAAATAAAAGATTTTGAGTGAATAAAAGTTTAGGATTTTTTATTTCAAAAATTATTTAATTTTTGTAATTATTTTCGAAAAATCGAAAAACAAAAATATAAAATTAGATAGTATTATTCATTCCTATTTTATTAGTAATTAGGATTTTCTAGGAAAATTCTTATAGCCTTGCCTTAGGAATTAAATCCTTGCTTCAGGAAAATTAAAGAATTAAATGAATGAGAATACATTTTTCAAGACTTTTAAAGTCCTTCCTTTATTATAATTTTCATATGACCAGTCTGGGAATTAATTGTCTAAATTCAGACGTCTGGATTTATTAGACAATAGAAAAGGGCAGACTTTCATAGACAAAGAAAAAACTCTCTTCAAATGCCAACAAATCTTGCCTTTATCATAAGTAGCTTTTAGAAGTTAATGTAAGTCAAATAATTTTAAAAGTGGAAAAAAAAAATTTATAAAAAAGTATTTTTAAAAATTTTCTTTTCGTTTGTGGCAAAAAAATTTCCTTTTTAAGTTTGCTGTCTTTTTAAGTTTCCGTATTTTCAAGGAAATAATTGTGAATAAACATAACACAACCCTGTTAAACCTTAACTTAGTATTTACTTCTCAAAATTTATGACAACTCTCTTGTGTAATACTTTTGAAATTTTCCGTTTTTATTTAAATGTTTTTTCACAATTTATAAAATTTTAAATTAAAATAATTATTTTAAAAAATATTTAGGGGTCTTTAAAGTAGGAATTAGTCATGAGGACAAATCGAGCTAATCAAAACTAACGGAAAAAATCAAAAACTAAATCGAATACTCATTGGCCTAGTCTCTACTTTAAAGTGTCTTGTAAATAGTAGTTTGTAAGATGGAGAAGATGGATACCTATCTTTATTCGTTTAAAATTTAATTGTAAGATCATACTATGCCCTTTTTGGATATCCATCTCCTCTCATTAAAAGCCAAAACGATAATCACAAACTCTAGACTTGTTTGATTGATCATATTTCACAATCATTTACTAACATTAAACTTGCAAAATTTTGATGCTTAAACCTTTCTAACAGGTTACTAAACAATTAGTTCCTTTCCAACTTCATCAAATTTTGAAAAATAATATTCAATTTTTGATTCACTAACTTCTTTAAGTGTTGAGGGTTGCCATTTTGGATTTTTATCCTTGTCAATTAAAACTATAAAAATAAAAAATATATAAAGACAAATTCAATCATTTCTTCTTACTAGCTCGACATCCCTCATGGAAATCATGGTCAAAAATAAAACGCTGGGAAAGTCGAAATTCGATGGGAAAGACCTTAATTTAAAAATATAATATTTTAAAAAATAATTTATAAAAAAACATACTTCAGAGAATTTCAATTTTTTGCCAAGAAGGATTTGCCGGAATGTGATCTTTAGAGATGTAGGACTCTAAATATGAAAATAAAATTATTTTTTAAATGTCATAACTATTTTTAATTTTTTCTGCTCACCATTTTTTCAAGAGCTTCTAATTGTTCTAAAGCAAAATCACTTCCCTCTTCTTTTTTTAAAACTTTTTTATTCAACTTTTCCATAATTTCTTCAACACTATTAGCATCAAAACATTCATCAATTAAATCCAAATAAGGATCCAAAGAAAAAGAAGCGATATTTTGAGGTTGGAATTTTTTTATAATTGAATTAACATTGTAATTTGTGCATTGGTCAGCGGGTAAAGAAATTAGATCGGTGCTAAGACGAGTAATGTCGCAAGATTCAACATAATGAGTAGCAAGTCCAGAATGAAAAACATCAGATCCGTAAAGGCGATATCCTAAAAAATATTAAAAAAAGGACTTTAAGCTTAAATTTTCTAAAAATTGTGATTATTTGAAGAATACTTAAAATATAGTTAAAATTTAGAGAATAACCAGAATTACACTTAATTAAAGATTTTAACAAATTTAGGCTCACCAGTCAACCCCAAAAACATTCCAAGATGCCCAGGAAGCCTTGGAAGAAAATGTGTTGCCCCAACATCAGGAAATAATCCAAGAGCCGTCTCGGGCATAGCCAGTACTGTTCGTTCTGTAGCCACACGAAAAGGGCCATTTATTGAAAGACCACAGCCCTTTTAACAAAAAATTAAACGTATCTAGATTACAAAAAATATCCTTACCCCACCCATAGTAATTCCATTAATTAATGCAATGTACGGCTTCTTTAGTGTACCGATAAGATGATTTAATCGATATTCGTGTCTAAAAAATTGGTCGTATATCCGTTCAGTTTTATCACCAGATTGATAAGATTTTGAAACTGCTAAAAAATAAAACTGTTAAAAAATATTTGCAATTCAATCTAACCAACAACATCACCACCCGCACAAAATGCCTTTAATCCTTGACCTTTAATAATAACAAGATCAGAAGGCTCCTAAATAGAAAGTATTTTTATTAATCAAGGCCTTTTTATAAATAACCTGCAATGCCTCGTAAATTTTCTTTATCATTGGCAAATTAACTGCGTTCAAAGCCTTTGGACGATTTAATGTAATCACCAATTTTTGTTTAATCCGATCAATCAGAACTTCTCCGTTAGAAATAGAAGACGCAGAAGCAGAAAAATTTCTTAATTGTGCCGTGATGAATTTACCTGGGAACAATTGACATTTCTATAGCTACTCTTCTAATCAAATTCTCACCGGGTTTGAACGTCGTCTTCAGAAATAGAGCGTTAGAGTTCATGGTAGCTAAAAATAATTTAAATCTATAATAAATTTTAGGGGTAAATTTGTAATGTTTTAACACAAACTGAAACAAAGCAAACCATTTAACATTTTATTTTATTAAAAGATTGTATAAATTATTATAAATTTTGTAACAAAAAACATTCTAATCAACAATTAATTGTTTTAAATACATGGAATCCATCAAGTGATGTTGTCAATGCTAAACCAGGGCATTGTTGATGCCAGTGGACTTCTTTTACTTCTAAATTAAAAGCAAATAATTTAGATAAATAAAAATTCTATTAACCTTTTTGGCCCATATGAATGAAGAGAAGCTGTGGAGGGAGTTGTTCAACCCCATCAACCTTTGTTTTCTTTTCTTCTCCGTCGTCCTCTTCCATTCCTTCATCTTCATCGTTTCCATTAGAATATTTTGGTTCATCTGCCTCTAAAGCCAAATCCCAAATAGTTGTCTGATCATCTTCCCCAGAAGCCATAAACACTGTACTGTCATGAGGGCTCCATTCAACAGAAGTTACAGGCTTGCGATGGTGAATGAATTTGGCAACTGGTTGGTTGTACTAGAATTTAAAAAAAACAATTATTAAATTTTTATGGTACTGAAAAAATAAATAGGTAAATTTCTACACAAAAATTCTTACTTGAATTGTTTTTAATGACCAAACAAACAAAGCGCCATCATCCCCTCCTGATACAATTAGTGGATCTGTACCTGCATTCCAACTCAGTACATTTACATCGGCTTCATGGGCATCTTTAATTGTACAAACACAAGCCTGTCTCGGCGGAGAACGAACATCCCATAGGCGACTAAATTTTAATCAAAAAAATCTTTTATTTGTAAAAATACATTGTTCTATCAGTAGAACATGATACAAGCAAAGATTCTTCAGTTGGTGACCAAACTGAAAAATTGATTAAATAAAAATTTTTTACAAAAATAACCTAAATCTTCAACAGATCCACGATGATCAGTTAAAGCGTTAGCGTCAACTATCCATTTCCCTCCTTCAGTCATTTTCCAAAGAAAAATCTAAATAATTATTTATTAAAAGTAATTTTGATAAAATACTTTAGAGAATATTCAAACTGAAGAAAATTACCTTTCTATGATGATCTCCAGTTGCCAAAGAACCAGTTTGTAAAGATGACCAGGCAAGTGCAAAACCTTCAGCCGAATATTCTTTACTGAAGAGAGGCTTCTCATTCTTCAATGCAATACTTTTGGTAGATTCAGAAAGAGAAATATTTTCGATACAAGAAATAAAAGGGTTTAAATTCCAAATTTGAACTCTTCGCTGATCATTCCAAACAGCACAAACATCGCTTGACCCGAGACGTTGAAACTTAAATTATAAATTTTTAGAAGGGAAAATATATGGATTGAGCATCCAAGTAAAAATGGGAGGATAAAACTCAAACAGAATAAATTGGAAATAAAAACGTCAGGGGAGAAATAAAATTCATATCGGAGGCTCTGAAATGAATACTGAAATTTTGATAACCTTTTGCGCAACAAAAATATTAAAAAAACAAAAAATTTAGGGAGGAAATTATTACAGTCGTGGAAAAAAGTATGGAAGCGCTAGAAAAAGTTTTTTAAATTCTTAATTTTTTATTCAAAAAATACGTTCTATATATCAATCGAAAGCTCTATTCGTATCTCAGTTGACATGTTTCTGCATTTTTCATGAAAATGAAAATTGGCCGAGATAATCCGGATCTACCGGATATACCAAATCCCACTTTTTCGGAAAAATTTTTCGGGACAAATTTAACAAACCCATTTGATAAAGCATATTTTTCTGAGTATTTTCCACAAAACCGCTTAAAAATATCTTTTTCCGGAACAGAGATATGATTTTTTGAAAATCGTATTTTTCGTCAATTTTTGCAAAAAATTCGATTTTTAAGGGAAAAATGCGATTTTCAAAAAATCATATCTCTGTTCCGGAAAAAGATATTTCTTAGCGGTTATGTGGAAAATACTCAGAAAAATATGCTTTATCAAATGGGTTTGTTAAATTTCTTCCGAAAAATTTTTCCGAAAAAGTGGGATTTGGTATATCCGGTAGATCCGGATTATCTCGGCCAATTTTCATTTTCATGAAAAATGCAGAAACATGTCAACTGAGATACGAATAGAGCTTTCGATTGATATATAGAACGTATTTTTTGAATAAAAAATTAAGAATTTAAAAAACTTTTTCTAGCGCTTCCATACTTTTTTCCACGACTGTAGGTAATTTATTAATATCCCACCCCACTCCTATTTGAGTCTCAGATTAAATTTTCTTTTTTAATGCAATCGTTCTTTCCCTCTCAAATTATAAGTAAAAGTCAAGTTAGAAGGAGAGCAAAATTAGAAAAGAGGCCTTCTAAGTTGTCATTTACTTAAAATTTTGAGGAAAAGAACGAGGTCAGTAAAAAAAGGAAAATTAATCTGACTAAAATAGGCGTAAGGGGTGGGATATTAATAAAGTACCAATTATTATTTAAAAATTTAAAACCTTAATCCGATTAACGCCGCCATGGTGAGAAACTAAAGAAGCATGCATTCTCGGTTCTTTCTTTCCAGGTCGATCATTAACTAGATTTGCCTCGTCTTCTTCATCCTCATCTTCACTACTATCATCACTGCTAGAACTACTTTCACCATCATCATTATTAGATTCTTTTGCTTTGGATTTTAAGGCACTTTTATTCGCATGCATATTAGATAACCGCATAACCATAAGCTGATTTGAATGTGATTTGTCTGCCTAAAAAGGTAAACGATTTTAATAATTTTTTAATAAATAATTTACTCAGTTAAGATCAAGGTTTTAAAAAATTTCAAAACTAAAATTGGTACTTATGGGTTATCCCAAACCATTTTTGCGGACAATTTATGCAGACTCATGCCTCAATATTCTTCCCCAATTTCTCCCCTGTGGAATTTTCAATGTGAGACATTAATGTGGAAAGACCACAGGAAAGAGTGAAATTGAGGAATGAAGAACATCTGATGATTTTGTACTTAAATGAGTCCGCATAAATTGTCCGCAAAAACTGGTTTGGAATAATCCATAAGCACCCTAAAATTATACCAATAAATGAAAGCCCAATCAGCTCAATATTAAAAAGAAAAACCTGAGTTCCTGTAACAATCCAAGATGTCATGGGAAAACTTTGCCTATTAACGCCCAAAGAATCAGGAATGACGTCAAAACTCAGACACGGATACTCTTTAAAATATATCTAATTAAATAATTAAACGATCAAAAATTTAACCTGTTTCAAATGTGTGCAAAAGGAGATAAGCCTTTGGATCATAAGTAAGTTCTTCCGTTTCTTTCACTGAGCGGCTTATACCGGGCACATAAACCTGGAAGAAAAAAATTAAAATTAAATAAATATACAGAAATACCTTCTTTTTTACAATGTCCATGTCCATCTAATCAATTTTAATAATAAATTTTGCAAAAGAATGGGACGATTCTGAAAAATAAAAAAATTAGTATGGAACAAAAATTTTTCGATAAACTCTGATCGGCGACTCTGAAACGTCCTTACTCTGAAACAGCTACCCTGAAACATCCCGTACTCCTTTACCGAATAATTTTTATTTAAGCGGCCAAGTAGGCTCAAAGTGATAACTTGCTTCAAGATTTCCTAATCTTTCAAAATTTAGTATTAAACGATTCCTCTCATCGAGCTAAAGAGATCATTGACTTTATTTATTACAACTTTATTATTAAAAATGAAGAAAATTACAATTCTTGGGGCAAATACACTTTTGGGACAACATATAGTTAGGGTGATTGACAACGTTTTTTCTGATATTGACAAAACTCTTTGGAACTATAATTACAAACTTAATGGATTAAAAGAAGCAATTGAAGGCTCGGAAATGGTTTTTAAATTTAAATTATTTTTAAGTTAAAATTTTATAAAGGTTGTTAATGTGCATGAACTACAAGATTTTTCTTTGACACCAAATATGGAGGAGTTAAACAAAAATAACGTTGAATGTTGGTTTTTTGAATTTGATTATCCCAAAAGAAGGGCGGAATCGTTTTTTCATTACTTGCAAGGAAAGGAAAAATGGAGACGGATGGACATGGACAAGCAAAACACGAACGGACGCGGACAGACAAAACACGGAATCAATTTCTAAAACATTTCTGTCCGTGTTTTCTGTCCGCGTCCAGCCGTCTCCTTTTTCCTTTCCATTTTTCCTTTCCTTGCAAGTAATGAAAAAAAACGATTCCGCCTTTTTTTGGAATAGGGCCAAATTTGATTGTCCCTTAAATTTTAGTTGTTTCCGAAGTGATTTCTTTTTGCAAAACTTCAAATGTTTCTGTGTTAGTTCATTTAAGTACCACTTATCTTCAATGTTCTACAAAATGGCCAAATGTTTATGGAAGAGAATCTGAGGATTTTAAACAATTTCTGAACGAGTGTCCTTTTCCACAATATTGCAAAAGTAAACTTATGGCTGAGGAATTTTTGAGAAACAATTTAGGTTTATTTTTATGTTAACAGAATAAAAATGATTAATCCTATAATTAGGGTTGGGGGTCCGGTCCAAAAGATCGAGTCGGGCATTGAATTTTGGCCCGAAAAAGACTCGGTCGGGCCGGTCCTAAAAAGTTGACTCGAAAAAATGCGGCCCGACTCGATAAAGACTCGATAATATTTTTAGCAAAAAATTGGCGAAATCTGGTGGCTTGTCTTTCCATATTTTCGAGAAAAAAAATTTGAAATAGCCATGAATTGCTCAAATTGTTTTTTCAGTCCCACAAAAATATTGGCCTATTTATCCTTTTTAAATATTTTAGACAATAAAATTTCTGTTGTTATTGCACGTGTTGGTCCAGTATATGGTGAAGGTGACCGGCGCTCATTGGTCTGTGATGCTCTTTTGGTTAATAAATATTTTGGATTTTTTCCTCGAATTGGAAGTCATAAGGATATGGGTGTACTTCAGGTAAAATTTTTTTGTATTTATTTTTTTTCTAAATTGTAAAAAGAAACTTCGTTAATTATATGAACAACTAATTTCTCCTGTAGCAATATGAAATTAAAAAATTTCCATTTTTCTGCAACTTCCCTATTCCTTCTAATCTAATAAGTAATTTATTATATAGCCCTTCCCAAGTATTTTTTATCTTATTATTTCCACAGTTTACATATGCTGGAAATGTTGCTTTTTCTTTACTTTCGTGTGGCCAAAAGTTAATGAATTCTGAAAAAACTTCTTGTGAGACAGTTTTAATTTGTGATGATACTCCTTTACATGATTTTTATTCTTTAATTCTGGATGGGATGTTGGATTCAAAGAAGGTTGATACTGGACACGAGGAAATTACAAAAACAAGGTTAATTTAAAAGGATTTTGGGAGATTTTTAAAAAATTATTTATTTTTAGTACTTGGACAATTCCTTTTTGGCTTATCTTCTTTTCATATTTATTTATTTGTTGGTTGGTTCAGTTAATTACAAATATTTCCAATTTGCATTTGAGTCTTAATTATGTATTTTTTTAAATTTTTTAAAAAAATTTCTAATTTGAAATTTTTTAGTTGCCATCTCCAAATCTTATTTATCTTCTTTTGCGCCATTGGACTTTTTATTCTGGTTATAAACTTCGAGTATTTTTTGACGTTAAACCTTTTTATGATTGGGAGACTTGTTTGAAACGTTCTCAACTTTATTATACAAATTTGAAGACTGAGGATATTGAAGGGCCTTCTTGGCTTCCCTCGACAATTAAAATGACAAATTAATTTATTGAATACTCTATAGTATAATTTATTATTATTTTTTATATTTTTAAATTATAATACTAAATCTCAATTTCAAAATTGGATATTTTGATTTGATAAAAATAGGCCACGGATAATTTAAGGAATATCGCAAATTTATTTTTTTAGTTTTTTCCATTTCTGTGCCCCTCTCCCACTAAAATGCGTTTTGATCAAATGGGTTGACCATTTGTCGATAAATATAGCGGTCACCAAAGGGAGGAAACCCCCATTTATTTTGCATTTGCACTGTTGGCAGCAGGCCCCGCAAGCATTGCCTATGTGGTTCAATCAATTATGTTGGGTATATATTTTTATATTGTACTATTTTTTCGTTAAAATCGATTTAAAAAATAAGTTTTTTTTAATTTGGCTTAAGAAAAATTATTTTGGGCCAAAAACGCCAAAAATTGGCCTTGCAAAATTAACCCTTATAAAATTAATCAAAAACGCCGAAAGACCCTATAAAATTGACCCTACTTTACACGATGGAATAAAAATTTCTCCTTTTCCCCTGACTACGTGCCTGATAATTCATTTAAATCAAAAGACGTTAGTTTATTTTTCAAAAAAATTTTTTAACGTTTTTCACGTTTTTATAAAAAATTTTTTTGATCTCCTTTGGGAATTACAAGTTTATTTTTTCATTTTTTTATCTTCATTTTTATGACAAATAATAACAAGTAGATACATTTAAAAACAAACTCAAAAAAAATAAAACTGTAATATTTCAAAAATAAACTAATAATTCCCGTATCCCCTCAAAATCTCTATTCCTTAAAATCTCTACGCAGCTAAAATGCCTTATAATCTCTACGCGGGTAAAATGCATTAAAATCTCTACACGGCTAAAAATGATGAAAATATCTATTCCTTAAAATCTCTATTCCTCATAATCTCTACACGGGTAAAATGCCTTAAAATCTCTACACGGCCAAAAATATGATAAAATGTCTATTTTTTCATTCGGAAGCCTTTACAGTGCCAACTTTCAGTGCGGAAACGTTGCTCTGATTTCTGGTTTATCTTTTGGTATTATTTTGCTTGAATAGTGTCCAGCAGAACGACAGCAGCCGCTTCGATACGATCACTGCAAGCAAAATGAACACGACGCAGCGAAGCAGTCGCGTATTATATTTACGATATTTACGGCGGATACAGGCGGATATCCGCAGCCATTTTCAAATTAATTGTATTCATTTCCGTATCAATTACCAAGTCTGGGTTTTCCAGCGAAAGGTTCATATTTTACACTCTTGTTGAGACTCTACCGTCCATTTGCACGGTGTAGAGATATTAAGCATTTTTACCCCAGTAGAGATTTTAAGGAATAGTTATTTTAAGGAATAGAGATTTTAAGCATTTTTAGCCTAGTAGATATTTTAAGGAATAGCGATTTTAAGGAATAGAGATTTTGTATGGGAGCCAATAATTCCACTGTAATTTTTATTAAACTTAATTAAAATGCTTTCTCTTCTCTTTCTAAATGTTGCTCAAATACCTACATTAAATAAAAGAAAATTTAGGAAAAAGGTATGATTTTCCATTGAAAAATACTTAAAAAAATCTCTCAAAATAATTGATGTACTTTAATAAATTATATAAATCTTTATTGGTATTTTAATTTACATGTTATCAATTTTCCCTTCTTTAGTTAAAATTTGATTGAAGTTTTTCTCTTTATACTTTTCCGAATCTTTCTCTTATTAAACTTTCTTTGAAGTGCCGCTCATTATAAATAAACTTACTAATTCCCCTTACAAAATTCCCATCTTCAGGAGGTCTTTAAAACAAATAAAATGCCTCGACACAGTGCTCCTTCCAATCTTACTTCAAATTCACCTTCCAATTTCTCAACTATTTTTAATAAAACAACACTTAATACAAACAAATTAAAATTACAAGAACCAGAAGATATGAGTCAAGTATATTAAAAATATTTTTTTAAATAAAAATACACCTAATTTTCAGTTATTAATAAGCATTGAGACATTGCGTTCAACTACGTATGTTTTTAAATTTTTTTTTAATTTTCCCACTTAATAAAATATAACTAGAATCAGTAATTCTTCGGTTAGACCCCCCACCATCTTCCTGATTCCCTTTGCGGCATCTGTTATCTTGTTATGGATAATTATATATCATTCGAAAGAGCTTTTCGAGCTGAATCGAATGGAACTAAAATAAACGAAATCCGACTTTACTGAACAAAGTTATGATCACTTGTTTTAATCCCTTGCAGAGGAACAAAAAGCTTTCGCAGAAAAGATCCAGCTTCTTAATTTTGTTAAGTATTACCAAATCTACCCGATATTCTACCCAGATCGAAGTGCTTTTTCGAATGATATGTCTAAATTATAGATCAAGCAAGAAGGCTAAAATTTTTTTAAAGGATTCAGGAAAATGGTGGGGGTGTAAACCTAAGAATTACCCTAGAATCAATTTATTATTAAATTCTTTAATTTTCTTTTGTAGAAAGTTAACCCTTCAGACAGCTGATGCTCAAGAAATAAGTGCAGATTATTTGGAAGAATGGGCAAAACAAACACCAAACAATGCAATTGGGGATGTTGTAGGGTGGACTTGTGAACTTCTTCGTGTGCAAGCTGAAAATCAACGAACATTTGCAAAAAATTATGAAAATTTTCTTGAGAAACTTAGAAAAGTTGCTGACACAGAAAGGAATATACAAACAGAAGAAGAAAAACTTGAAGATTTGGAAGAACGTGAACGTCAATTAAATTTAGCTTGTAATAATAATGAAAATAAGGGAGAAAATAATAAAAAGTTTTGGAGTCGAAAATCGAGTACTTCCTCTATTCCGAAAGACCCAAATGAAGTTAAAGGTGTTTGGTATGAAGTTGTAGGAGAATTAATGGTGAGAAAGGAAGAAGTGAAGAAAAAGAGAGCTGAAGCTGACATAATTAAAATGAAACAATTTAGAGAAGCTATTAAAGTAAAAATAAAAAAATATTTTTTTAGAAAAATTATTTTTTAAAAATTAAAAAAGGGAATTGCTGATTCACATTGTAATTTTGCAATGACAACAAATCTAATATTTTCTTGTCAAAAGGATTTGGCTGAATGTGTGCCTCAAATCTCAACCATTAAAAACATTAAAAATATGTTCTATGATGGAATACCTAAAACTCGAAAACGTATGGAAAAATTAGAGAAGGCGCTTTTTGATAAAGAGGTGATTAGGGAATAAATAAAAATTATATACTTTTACCTATTATTTATTTTAATTTAATTCTACATATTAGTATTTTATTCTCTCCTTAATTAGTGAATTGTATGTTGGGTACTTTTTATATAAATATAGTAGGGGTGTTAGTTCTTGGAAAATCTTCGGATATCCGGAACCGAACCGAAAAACCGAACTGAAAAATCCTCGGTTCTCCGACTCGGTCCAGAACCGACAACCCTACTATTTACCATTAATTAGGGGGTGTGTATCGGAAAGTACCGTAGAAATTTTTTCGGGGAATATACTGTCAATTTGGAAATATTTTTTGCGAGGCCCTACAAGGATTCCGTCTGTTCTCGAATTCTTTACACGAATTTGGACGCTTAATTAATGTTTTATTATTTTTCATAACTTCCTTTTAGATTCATCTGCCTCGACTTATCCCTCCAATAAAACAAATTACTAATACTCAATTCCGTCGTCGAAGTGAAGAACAGTTACCTTCAACTACAATTCCAATAATTAAAGATAATTTAGTTCAACGTATAGCTAGAACTTCATTAAATAAAAATATAAAATTTGGAACCCCTCCACCACCTTACACACCAAGTGCTCCAACAGTTGAGCAATTAATAGATTCAGATGAAGAGGAAAAGGGAGAAAGGGAGGTAGAAAAGGTGTATTTATTTTGCTTCTTAAATTATTTTAGAATTTTATTTAAGGAACCGAGAAGGCGCATTTATTCACGTTTGTCACCAGAGCCTATATAATAGGAGATTACATGGGGAATTGAATCAGAAAAATTTATTTGAATGAGGGAATACTATTTAATATTTAATTTTGTCACGTTTATCTAAATAATATATTTAAGTTTAATTATTAATCAAAAATGGAGAAAATTAACCAAAAAAGCCTTTACTCGAGAATGGCATTTTTTTTTCATTTTTATTTAAATCTCCATTTTGTATACTTATTTTCTAAAAATATTTCTTAACTATTTTATATTATTTAATCTATATTTCTCTCTATTTATACTTCCTCTCTATCTATATTAAGGTTGGCGGTTCCGGGTATCCGGAACCGAAAAAACATCGGAAATCCGAAATCTTCGGTTCGGATATCCAGAGATTTCCCAGGAACCGCCATCCTTAATTTATACGTTTATTTATTTTTATTTTGCATAATTTAATTTTTTTTATAAATATTTTAATTGAATTATATCTCTCAATTTTTCCTTAATTTTTCTAAATAAAAATATTTTGTATGAATTTTGTAATAAATAAATTTGCTTTGTCTATTTCTTATAATTAAAAAAACAAATTTATCAGTTAAAAATATTAATTTCAATGAAAATCTTTTAATTCCAAAAATCGTTAATTAACAACAGCACTTGTAGCCATTTCATGAATGCCACAAACATTGCTGCCTCTGTAAAGGCGATAATATCCATGTTCACCTTTATAAATGTTTTCAAATATTTTGAATTTACATAAAAATAATTTACCCCAATTTCTGCCCCAACTATTTTTAATTATCCAAAAAGGTTTATTTCCTTCCTGGCCAAAGCCAACAATAAGAACTCCATGATTTAACATTTTTGGGGAACAAAGGAAACGCAAAGGGTGAGAAATTCCATGACGATAAAATTGCAAAGGGAAAGCATTTACTCCTTTAAATATTTAAATATAATTTTTTGTAGTTAAAAAATTATTTACCGACGGATATAGGCCCATTTTTAACAAGCCATTTAGCCATTTGTATTTCATCTTTTTCTAATTGTAAAGACCCATTAATATAAGCAGCTAGATCAGAACGATTTAAATTACAATGCTCTTTTTTGGCATCATAAGGATAATCATTTTCTGGTTCAATACCTCCAATACGTATTATTTCTCTTTAATTAATTTTATAAATATAATTAAATAAATAAACTTGTATGCTTGTAAAGGTAATCCGCCATTACAAGCCATATCAACACGATCACAATCCTTTTAAATTAAATATATGTAGGTATTTTACAAGTCATTATTTTTAATTAATAAGTTACTTTTTCTTGTTAATTAAGAATATAGTATTTTTTCAATTAATTACTCCTCTTCAAATAATTGACACCTCTCTAGAGGTTTTTTAGGGTTTCTTCCTACCAGAGGTGGGTCGGAACAGTCAGAGGTGTCGGAAATCGGAAGAGCCGGAAATCGGAACTGGCTCAAAAGACGGAAATCGGAATTTCGACCCACCTCTGGTTCCTACCACTTTCAAATTTCAAAACTCGAATACCAAGGGTAAATATTCAAGAAACTACGGTATACCAAAATAATTCAATTAGAACCGTTATCAGTTTCAAAGAAATTCTTTAATAACTATTTATTTACAAACCAAAAGTTCCTGTTCAGATAACGCCTGTAATTTCCCCTTTTTTAACGCCCATTGTCCTTCAATATTTCCAGTAACACTAAATGCCCAACAACTTCCACATTGACCCTTAAAATTAAATTAAAAATTCTTTTTATCAAATAAGTTAGTACCTGATTTTTTACGTCAGTAACAGCACCCTTTGTACGCCAATCCCAAGAATTTGGTAAATCTTCATCATCAATAAGAGGTGCTATTTGTGTATTTTCAACATTTAAGGGCCATTGAAAGGGTAAATAAATCTTTTTTAACAATATTTTTAATTTAATTAATTTTAATTACTTTTCTAAATTCATCTTTACTTAAATCCATAAATTGTGTTTCTCCATAAATTGCTGTACCTAATTCCTTTTTTTGATATTTCTTAGCTCTTCCTAAGTTTTTAACATAATTATTGAAACGGCTCAATACTTCTGATGCTTTTGTATAATTAGGACCATATCTAAAATAAATAATTTATTTTAATTATTAAATATGAGAATAAAAATTGACATATTTAATTAATTTTTTTTCGTCTTCAATAAATTAATTTTCGATTTTTCCAAAGTGCAGCCTACTTAGTAACTTGAGGTTTTAATAATGAGACTGAACTAGAAATATAGCGACGGCTGGGATCGAATCAGTATTTTTAGCTTACAAAGTGCATAGCCTTAGGAATTAATAGCTATATTATTTAAATAATTAACACTAGAATTGCCAAAAATACACTAACTTCTTTAAATATTTCTCAATAACTATAACAAAGATTTCTCTCTCTCTCTCTCTCTGTTAATAACACAGACTTTTTAGTCTTAATTCTTTTAATATATTTTTAAATTTTACTTTCGAACAAATCTTCTAAATTTAGTCCATCCTTGTTTATCAAGTCCATCTAAACGACCAACAGAATCAACTAATGTGTTTGTTAATTCCTTAGCTTTAGAACAAATAATAAACATATAATCTTCATCACTCTCATTATCAATTATTTCCTCATCATTATTTAAAGAAAAACATTCCCAATCTAATATTTCAATTTCTTTTTGGTCTTTAAGTATATCAAATGAACATTCCTAAAAAGGAAATATTTAAATAAATTTTTAATTTGAATCTTTAACCTTTTTATTATTTGCCAACTCATTTACACGACAATAATTAATATCTCCATTTGCCTAAAATTTTAATAAAGCTTAATAATGATTAATTTTTTTGGTAATACTTCGGCTGAAGCCCCCTTTTTTGTGTTCTGTGCTTTTCATTTTCTTTTTGAATTATGTACATTCGAAAGAGTTCTTCGGGCTGAGTCGAACGGCTCTAGAATCATCGAAATCTGACTTAAATCAACATAGTTATGAGCATTTGTTTTAGTCACATTCAACATCACAAAAAGCATGTCCATAAAGGATTTAGCTTCATAATTTTGTTCAAAATCGCTAAATATAACCGATTATCGTATCAATATACCCAGATCGGACAGCTCTTTCGAATGATATATAAATTATATGTCACGCAAAAAACTCTAAATGGTCAGGGAAACAGGAAAGAAGGGGGGGGGGCGTCAGCCGAAGCATTACCTATTTTAATTAAAAATTAGGTATTATTGTAAATTTAAATTTTAATAGAAAAATAAAAGTAAAATTTATTAGAAAATGGATTTGAAAAATCTGGGTGTTTCAAGATTGAACAGTTTTTCGAAGTAATCTAGATTCTGAGAAAAAATTTAAAATTAATCAGACTTACATTTAATTGTTTAGAGCATGTAGTCTGTACAATTGTAAACTCAAATTGTAAGCGACTTATTTGATTATTATTTATTTCAATATTTTGATCTCCATCATTTTTATTATATTCTTTTCCGCAAATATATAATTGTTTATCTAATTTCCAAAGAAAATCATCATTTAAATGATTATTATTTATCCAAGAAATTATATAATTTAATTCTCGTTGTCTGCCAATTGTCATTGTTAATATTTCAGATATTAGCAGAAATAAAGAAAGAACAAACAAAAAATGTTTATTTTTCATTATAATTTTAATTAAATAATCTATTTAAAAATACCGTAAATACTCTATTTGAAGCCCTATGCTTATATTTTTCAATGGATCTCCTCAGATGGGCCTATATTAGAGCTGGGCTTCTGCAAGAGTTGGGCTTCAATTAGAGTATTTACGGTATTTTATTAATTTTTTGAATGTAACATTTTAAAAGTAGAAAACGGGACGTGTAAGCAGAATAGTCAAAAAAGTGTAGATTCTGTGGAAGGCGGAAATGAAAGAGAAGCCCATTCCGGCTGCCCATAAAAAAATGTTTTTTTAGTTATAAAAATATATTTTCTTAAATTTAAAACATTAAAAATATAAGAAATAAAGGAGGAAGGAAGCTAAAAGTAAAGTCTTTGTTTAAAGTAGAATCAGAAAATGGCAATCAATCAAGCTATTTTTATTACAAACTAAAAGAAAATCTTTTTATTTTATCCGGCCTAGCACGGGATAAACACAAAAAATCATATGACCCTAAAGTAATGGCTATTATAAACAAACATTAGTGCATTTCTTCCCTAAATTACTGGGAATTTTTGAACAGATTTTTGTTCAAATGGATATTTAAATAATTAACAAGATTTTTGTAGAAATTTATATTTAATTGATTATAAATTTTAAATAATTTCATGCATTTCTTTACAAAATAACAATTTCCCTTTCAAAATAAAATAAATTTGAAAGATAAATTGTCTCGATGACTGTTGAATGGGGATGACCTTCGTTTCTTAAAATGTTATTTTTCTTTAAGATGTTGTTAGATGGAAAAAAGTTAATTTTAAACAAAATAAATTATTATTATTTTTTTAATTTAATAATACTTATTTCCAAAAATTTTTCGTATATAAAATAATGAATAAAAAATAAATATACATGTCGCGACTCGGCGATTTGTCATTAATCGCCGAGCCGCGATTATTTGGCGCGCTCTTTTGACTAGTCTGAGCGAACGTTGTCTTCGCTTGCTAGTCCAAAGATGAACGGCCGTTGAGCCGTGTTTACATCCGCTTTTCACTGCTACACTCACCTTTTTCTCATAATGGACAAGAAATTGGCGATCTTATCTATGGAAAGAAGGATGGGCCTTATATGAACATTAACAATAATATTTTCCCAACGATTTTTATTATTCACTTCACTTTCATTCTTGTTCTTTTCAACATTAAAATAAATTATTTATTTAGTTAAATAAATTTTTTGGATTTGATTATATATTTCTTATAGTCAAATATACTAAGCGATAACTGGCGTACCCCCGCCCTGGGAAGCCCCGGATATCTCTTCGGATTAGGGGGCCTAGTCTAATCCGTGCGTAACAGCCTCTAGTCGTCTAGCCCGTTGTGGCAAAGACTAATTAGCCCGTTGTGGCCCATACGTTATTGTTAATTATATTCGAGTCCATCACAAGTTGTATCACCAAGGCCCGTTGAGGCTCATCGCATATACAGGAAATAGATATTAAAGCCCGTTGTGGCTCGATTGACTAGGAAATAACTGTTAGGGAACAGCGGCTGTCGTGAGCAGTTTTCTTTTCTTTTCTTTCCGTTGCGCTAAAAGCTGCTCGCGACAAGTGGCGACCGCGTCTTGTTGACGTACCCGCTATTCGGTTAACAACACACAAGCAAGCAACAACAAATTTAATCGCATACACTCATCAAAAAAAAACGGGGAGCTTGATCGATAGATCGATCAAAAATTAAAAATAATTGATCTGTCACGATCGATTAAAAGTAAAAAACAGAAGTAGAAATGTACGTCCCAGAGCACATAGTACACCCAATAAATCTGGCCATCGAAAATTTGAAGGATTACTTAGAAGAGGCAAAACCGGAACTACCACCAATACCAACTAATGACGAAGAAAAGTTCAAAATTAAAATATTACACAGATCATTGGACAATAAAATAGATGATATTCTTACTCAGTTTGAAGAAATAGAAGATTCCAAATATGGTCTTGATAATAGAAGGAAGAAGCTCACGTCCAAAGAACAGGCTGAATTCGACACCAAACTCCGAAATATGATAGATTTTAAGGAAGTATACTTTGTTAGCCGTTGTGCTAAAGAAAAGTATTTGCAATACTGCGAAGTTATTGACAAAATTGAAGAATTGCTAGACATTCCAAGAAGATTAAGGAGAATAGATGTAGAACTACCAAGATTAGAGCCACACACGTTCGATGGTAAAAGTTTGGAAGAATTCTGGGCACTTTTTGAATCAAATACTAGTAAAGAAGAGTCATCAACTCGAGCAGGAGCGCTGTCACGCGCTCCGAGTGAAAATTTGGGATCACAGCTAAGAACTAAATAGAGAGAAAAGGAAGATGCTGATAAAAGCTATACAACAACTAAATTAAACGACAAACTGTGTCCAAAAGAAGAGAAACAAGTGTCGAATTTGCCGACCACAAAACCGAAAGTTATAAATGATAGAGAGGAACGTTGCGTCCTCTTGAAATGCATCCAAGTGACAATATACAATCCACTAAAGCCTCAATTACAGAAACGCGTCGTCGTTTTCTTAGATACTGGAAGTGAAAGGAGCTATATTGCAAAGACGTTAATTGAAACATTAGAGTTAACAGGAATTGGTCAAGCGCAATTCAATGTATGCGGCTTAGGAGGAGTACAATTAGGTACATATGAGTCGCAAATCGTTGAATTTGGCGTAAAAGGAAGAAATTTTGATCAAATTTTGAAAGCCCGAGAAATAGAAAAAGTGGTGAACGAGCTAAAATTAATCGAGTACAATACATCAATACTGAATGAGATGCGATCACCAAAAATTAAAGCGAAAATAGAAATTATGGCACCAGAAATATTGATAGGAATTGATTACTACGACTCGATGCACGTTGTATCCATTGAAAGAATGAGAAGTGGGTTTTATTTAAACAACTCGCTTTTAGGACATTTCATCTCCGGTGAAGGAAGAATAGAAAAACGAATGGAAGGAAAATCAAAGATTTCGGAGACATTGTCGAACATCGAGATAGAGTTTAACCAGCAGAGTAGTGGATTGAGCGCTATCGTTGAATACCGCTTCAATTTCGTGAACGAAATTACATATTATAGCTCACACCAACATTCAAGTAAGGAAAGCAAAGCTGAAATCATAGACAACGCCGTTGTGCGTGAGTTAGAACTAAGTACAAATAAAGGCAAAGCAGAGCAAGCAATACTAGATTCAAGTATCAAAAGAAACACGAAAATTAGTAAGCTGTCAGGCTTAACTTGGAAGATTCTTAGTGCACAAACCATTCTTCTGCAATTAATTGAGCTGTTATGCTTAGTTAAGAATTGTAAAAATGAAGCCTTGAATCTGATGAACATCGAGTATACCCTGGAGTATTTGGACCTAAGCCCCCCTCAAAAAAGTCTGGGGGGAGGGTCGCGGTGTGACGCGAGACCATCCAGAGGTTTAGTGGGTACCCGCGATCAGAACAAAATTTTCGATCCTGGGATAGATGTTAGGAGGATCGTTCGCTTCTGTCATGGAGTTCGAACGAGAGGTCAGCATGAGCTCATGGTCCGACGTCGTTCGGTTTGAGTTTGAAACTCTGATGGGAGTGTCGCGACTCGGCGATTTGTCATTAATCGCCGAGCCGCGATTATTTGGCGCGCTCTTTTGACTAGTCTGAGCGAACGTTGTCTTCGCTTGCTAGTCCAAAGATGAACGGCCGTTGAGCCGTGTTTACATCCGCTTTTCACTGCTACACTCACCTTTTTCTCATAATGGACAAGAAATTGGCGATCTTATCTATGGAAAGAAGGATGGGCCTTATATGAACATTAACAATAATATTTTCCCAACGATTTTTATTATTCACTTCACTTTCATTCTTGTTCTTTTCAACATTAAAATAAATTATTTATTTAGTTAAATAAATTTTTTGGATTTGATTATATATTTCTTATAGTCAAATATACTAAGCGATAACTGGCGTACCCCCGCCCTGGGAAGCCCCGGATATCTCTTCGGATTAGGGGGCCTAGTCTAATCCGTGCGTAACAGCCTCTAGTCGTCTAGCCCGTTGTGGCAAAGACTAATTAGCCCGTTGTGGCCCATACGTTATTGTTAATTATATTCGAGTCCATCACAAGTTGTATCACCAAGGCCCGTTGAGGCTCATCGCATATACAGGAAATAGACATTAAAGCCCGTTGTGGCTCGATTGACTAGGAAATAACTGTTAGGGAACAGCGGCTGTCGTGAGCAGTTTTCTTTTCTTTTCTTTCCGTTGCGCTAAAAGCTGCTCGCGACAAGTGGCGACCGCGTCTTGTTGACGTACCCGCTATTCGGTTAACAACACACAAGCAAGCAACAACAAATTTAATCGCATACACTCATCAAAAAAAACGGGGAGCTTGATCGATAGATCGATCAAAAATTAAAAATAATTGATCTGTCACGATCGATTAAAAGTAAAAAACAGAAGTAGAAATGTACGTCCCAGAGCACATAGTACACCCAATAAATCTGGCCATCGAAAATTTGAAGGATTACTTAGAAGAGGCAAAACCGGAACTACCACCAATACCAACTAATGACGAAGAAAAGTTCAAAATTAAAATATTACACAGATCATTGGACAATAAAATAGATGATATTCTTACTCAGTTTGAAGAAATAGAAGATTCCAAATATGGTCTTGATAATAGAAGGAAGAAGCTCACGTCCAAAGAACAGGCTGAATTCGACACCAAACTCCGAAATATGATAGATTTTAAGGAAGTATACTTTGTTAGCCGTTGTGCTAAAGAAAAGTATTTGCAATACTGCGAAGTTATTGACAAAATTGAAGAATTGCTAGACATTCCAAGAAGATTAAGGAGAATAGATGTAGAACTACCAAGATTAGACGTAGAACTACCAAGAAAGACTCTTAACTGTATGTATATATTAGTGGAAGTTATATTTATTAGAAGTCTAGTCTCAAAAACAGCCTAAACTTCAAAAGAGACTTTCCGCCCTCATAAGTGATAGAGGGCGGAAAAGCAAAGTTAGATAAGATTCAAGTTTTATCTATGGGTTAAAAATGTGTTTGATAAGGAAATGAAACATTAAGAGAAGAAATTTTAAAAAAATGTTGTGCTGTAAAAAGATAAAAAAAGAGAAAATACTTAAAATATTTGTTGAGGGAATAGTCTGAATTAAGGGGCAAAATATTTAAAAAATATAAAAATTCAAATGTGATGAAACTTAGAAAACTTTATAAACTTTTAAAATCAAAATAAGAATTCTTTAATTTCTATCATCCCAAAAATTTTTTTCAAATTTTTTCATTTCTCCTTCCATCAAAAAATCTTTTATACCACAAATGTAATTTCCAGGCAATTGAAATACCTATTTGTATTATAGAGCAAACAGAAAGTCCAACAAATAACCCAGATTGTCCACCCAATTGAGAAACAAATCCAGGTAATGTTGTTGTTAATACTTCTTGATATACCTCTATCTTTTTTAAATTAAAATAAAATATTTTTTCCTTTAAAAAACTATGTACCTCTAAATTAGTAAAAGATATTTCAATTCGAAATGCCGGCATATAATTACGTTTCATTACAGAACCTTTTGGTCTAAACTCTTGAAATGTATGTTCAGACCGAATACAGGCAGGTTTACACTAAAATAAAATTTTTTTATAATTTATCTGAACTTCTTGTTAGTCCATTCATATCAATCATGGCTATTTAATTAAAAAAAAATAAAAATAAAGAAAATTCTTGAAATCTAAAAATAAAATTCTCCATACTCTTTTTCGTGTATCATTATCCAATCTTAAATTTGTAACATCTAAATAATTTCTAACAATAGTAATAGGTTCACATATCGGTAAATAATTGTATCTATTTCTGCCGAGATAGAAAACTGTACAATTAAACGGTTCTACAATTTTTTCATGTAGCCAACGTTTTACCCAACACGAACTTCTCCCTTTATACTAAAAATAATTTTAAATATTTATTTGATTAATTAAATTTACATCTTTACCATAATTACTATAACATTGATCATTATCAGGTAACATACTTATTTGTCTATTTCTTGCACGTAATAATACAGCAGAATGAAAATGGACATAATAACGGGGGAATGTACCGACTGCTTGATGTTCATCTGTTATATAGGCAACAATTTGTGGCTTAATTTTATTTCCATTTAAAAATAAAATTAAATAATTAAGTGACTTGCATTCCTGATTTATCCGTGAGACGACTAGTTAATTGATTCTATAAATTATAAATTTATTTTCAAAATTTTTTTTAAATTTTAACCAAATAAACATCAATTCTTCCAATATCAGCAGGATCAGTTTGATGCATAATATATCTTAATCTCATACAACGCCCTCGCAACATAACATAATGAGGACGGAAAATATCACAACAAGGTATTTCCTCATATCCATATAAACATTTTTGGAATAACTTTTTAAAAATAAAAATCCAAATTAAAAAATTATTTAAAAATACATCTTTGCATGTATATCCATATTTATTAAATAAAGTATCATAAAATTCACTGAGACTTCGATAACCACGCCAGCGGCGAAATAATGAATAAAGATGTTGGGTCTATTAAATTTTAATTAAAATTTTAGGAAAATCTTTTTTATTAAATCTTTTTAATATCATATTTGAATCTCCATATCGATAAAGATTAATTTTTCATTTAATTTTCACTATTACCTGATGATCACTAATATTTTCTTTGATTCTTCTTCTCATAAATTGCCCAACATTACTAAAACCAGCCCCAGCAATAGCAAAGCTAATTAATCGCCCTATAGTTACTCTATCCATACGAGGAAGGCGACGATTAATATCTTTAAGTATTAAATTATATTTTAAAGAATCTGGATTTTTTGGACAAATAACTAAAACAGGCATTGGCAACCCTCTTTCTCTAAAAAACAAAAAGAAAAAAATAATTTATTGAATTTAGTGTGCTTAAACCCTTCATTTCGTTGCCTTTGCTCTATAGTAATTAAAGTAGCTGTTTGATGTTCAAGATAATCATTAAACATCCATTCTGTTGTAATTATTGACATTAAAACACAAATAGCAATAATAAAACCCCAAAATATTCTTTCAGCCATTGTACGGCACTAATTAAATTATTTAAAAGAATTTTTAAAAATATTTTGGTGGAAATTTGTTTATTGTTTTGAGAAAACCTTAATAAGAAAAAAGAGAATTTTCCCTATCCCTGATTAAGTTCACTACTGATTATTAAAGCTTTTGTATAAATATTAGAGCCCGGCTCGATACGATATTTTTTCGATATATATTTTTCAATATTATCGAAAAAATATCGACCGAGCCCTCCGTCCGGGCTCTAATAAATATTAAATAAATTTATATTTATTTACTCTTAAAAAAGCAGTTAATCCATGTAATTCAGCATTCCATAAATATCTACATGTACATTTTATTTCCTTTTTCGTACCTTCCTTCATAGTTTTATTTAAATTTTTTGTCATTATTTCAATAGGTATCAAATCTGTTTTTAACAAATCTGCATCAGACGTGGGCGAAACGTTTCGTTTCGTTTCGTTGTTTCGTATGTTTCGTGGGTTTTTTTGAGTATCGTTTCGTTTCGTCACGAAACACTTTTTAATTTGTTTCGTTTCGTTTCGTTACGAAACACCTGTGATTTTTCAACGAAACGAAACAATTTTTTAAGCCCAAACTAAGGCCAAAATCTATAAAATTTACCATTTTTTATTGAAAATTAAAAAAATTTTCGCCTGCGGCGCTGAAAAAAAGAAGAATTTCGGCTGCTTGGCCTTCCCAAATTGTCAAAATTCTCGCCTGCGGCGCTGAAAAAGTTAATTTTTTGGCCTACGGCCTTCTAAAATTCTCAAAAGTTTCGCCTGCGGCGCAGGAAATGGAAGAAATCTAGCTTAAGGACCTTCAAAATTTACAAAATTTTCGCCTGCGGCGCTAAGAGAGAAAGAGTTGTAAACAATTGTAAAAACTCACATGCCCCCCTGAAGCTAACCCCCTGGATACGCCCTTGAAGGATTTTGGGACTAAGGCCAAAATCTATAAAATTTACCATTTTTTATTGAAAATTAAAAAAATTTTCGCCTGCGGCGCTGAAAAAAAGAAGAATTTCGGCTGCTTGGCCTTCCCAAATTGTCAAAATTCTCGCCTGCGGCGCTGAAAAAGTTAATTTTTTGGCCTACGGCCTTCTAAAATTCTCAAAAGTTTCGCCTGCGGCGCAGGAAATGGAAGAAATCTAGCTTAAGGACCTTCAAAATTTACAAAATTTTCGCCTGCGGCGCTAAGAGAGAAAGAGTTGTAAACAATTGTAAAAACTCACATGCCCCCCTGAAGCTAACCCCCTGGATACGCCCTTGAAGGATTTTGGGATTAGAGGGGATATAGGGGATTAATCAATAAATCCCTCAATATCTCTTGTAATTCCCAACCCGTAGCCCTTAATCCACCAATTTTAAATGTAAAATAATACCCTATGTCTCTATTAATTCCCCAAATAACTCATTACTCACATCGATAACTCTGTTAATCCTAAATTCCCTCAATACCTCTGTTATTTCCCCAAATCCATTTATAATTGAAAATTTTAAAATTTTTTTCAAAATTTTAAAATTTTTCGTCTGCGGCGCTTAAAATAAAATTTTAGTTGAAAAATATTCAATTTTAAATTTAAAAAAAGCGTCGCCAAAAATTCGGCTCCGAAAACGATTGATCCCCCCCCCCTTCCCCGAAAATTTTCCTTGCTACGGACCTGGCTTATGGGACACAATTGTTGTAAATAAACCAATAACTAAATCATTTATGAGTCATAGGCGACTAATAAAGTATATGAGGTCGAATAATTGCGAAATAAATGCAGTTTTGAAAATTTTTTGAATATTAAAATGTTTCGTTTTGTTTCGTTTCGTTTCGTAAGATTTTGGTTGTTTCGTTTCGTTTCGTTAACGAAACGATTTTTAAAAAATTTTGTTTCGTTTCGTTTCGTCAGAAAAAAATTTTGAGTTTCGCCCAGGTCTGATCTGCATTCATTAAAATTTCATTTTTGTTTTGTGAAAATATTTTAAACGAAGAATAGACTTTATTTAATTTATTAATCATTTTTAATGTTTTTATTTAAAATTTTTGTTGTTAGTACTTATAACTAATTATAATTGTTTTTATTTTATTGTAAAAAATAGAAAAAATAATTTTATTAAAATTAATAAAAAATAATAAAGATATATATTTTTTATTAATCAAAAAATAAAATAATATCCTTGGCAAACAAAGCTTATATAAAAATATGTTTATGTACATATCTAACAAAAATTAACAATGTAAAGAAAATATGTATGCCATTTAATTGGTATAAATAAAAATACTTAAATATTTATACATAATACCTCAACTAAAACATTTTTTTTATAAATTTTTACTTAAATTATAAACAATAATTTTATAAAAATTTTTGTTTTTAAAAAATAGATAAAACTTTGGATTAGAATTAAATTCAAAATTATTTTACTAATAAATTAAAATAGTAAAATTTTGAGCAAAATTTAATTTTGTAAGGATAAAAACTTGTAGTTATATTTCATCTAATAATTTGTCTAAATTTCGATCATTCATCGTACAATTTTTATACATATACTATTTGATTTTATCAAAATAATTATTTTCAAAATAAAAACGAAGATTTGACAAAAATACTTCCCTTTATAAGTATTCCCGTCACAGCATTTTTTCTTATGTCAGAAAAATTCGGCCCAAGTGGGGTTGTGAATAAAGAGGTTGGCACTATTGTTATTCACAAAATTTACATAACATAAATTTAGTTTTAAAATCCATATAAATTTCTATGAATCTTTTACTGACTATTTATAAGAACAAAAAGTTATTTACTCTCTGATCCGTAAAATCCTGATCCGCAGGTTTTGATTCCGCAAAGTCGGGTCCGCAAATTTAAATGCGCAAAGTCGGATATTTCTCATATTTTCTGCTAAAAATCTAATCTCAACACCGGAACAGATTTATTTAAAAATATTTCGACAACTAAAGCTTTTAAATTATGTTAAATTTGAGAAAACCATTAAAATTTATTTAAAATTTAGCATTTATCTAACCAATTATTATTTGTTCCCGATTAATTTGGTTAAAAATTTATTTTCTTATAATGTTGATTATTTTCTTTTTTCCCTTCATTTTTTATATTCTTCATCAATACTAAATTATTTAATTATTAGTTAAATATTCATCTAAATATATAATTTTTACCTGGAATTCATTTTCCATGACAGTTATGTATTGGATTTGACCCTGTAGGCACACAACGACTCGATATAAATTGAATAAAAAATAATAAATTAATTAATAAAATAAAGAATAATTTAATTAATTTCATTATTTTGTATTTTTTTATTTAATAAAATATGTGAATATTTTTCGGTAAGTTTATTATTTTAAAATGAAGAAAATTCGAGTAAATTGCTGTTTTAATTTACCTTTATTTTACTTTTCTTTATTTACTATTTAAGAATTTTAAAAATTAATATTTTAAAAATTTAATAAAGAAAAATTTAGCAGGTGAACAATTAAACATATTCAGAATTGACTTTTTATGAGCCTTTTTGGCGATTTATGAGCTTTTTTTTAGCTTTTTTGGCTTTACGAGCCATTTTGGCAATAAATATTATTATTAAGAATTTTTATATTTTTTATGTTGACGATTCAAAATCATGAGTCTTTACAATACTTCACATGTTTTTCATTTTATTTTGAATATTATTTTTAGATTTTGGCAAGATTCCAAAAATAAATTTTATTTACTTTTTTCCACCGTGGCAAAAAGTAAATAAAATTTCGCTTTTTTATTTGAAAATTATTTTTTATGCTGCAAAATATTCTAAAATTAAATAATCTCTATTAAATTTCAATAGAAAATTTTTTTATTTTTTTAATGTCATATAACTAAAATAAAACCTCGTTTTATTTTTATTGTATAAGTTAAACAAAACCTAACAACTTATTAACTTAGTGGGGTTGAAAAACAATAGCCATAAGTACCGAATCATAGAAATATTACGGACTAAAGAAGCTATCTTTAAAAAGTGGTAAACGCACTCCGCCTATGGTTTTCAATTTTTAGGAACCTTTGAATGAGCTATTATCAAAACAAAAAATTGACTGAGTGAGTGGGGGGCTAAATAAGTACCAACATTTTAAATACACACCTATTTATTTATTGTAAGAACAAATTGGAAGTAATGTTTTGAATAAGTAAAGATAAAAAATTAAAACTAATATTTTTTTAGATTCTAAAATCATTGTTTGATTCTTAAAAATTAATTTTTCCAAATCAGTCTTTTAGAAACATTCCACGAACTTTTCCTCTAGCAATCTTTCCAAAAGGTGTTTTTGGCAAACTCTGAATAATTTAAAGAATTACAGAATTTAAAATTCAAGAAAACAAACATCCACAGACATAATACCTCCAGTAATTTGTTGATGACGTTCGAGCCGTTCTATTAAAAAAATTTTTTTAAAAGTAACCAGTAATTTTATTTCCAATCTAAAATTAATTACCATTTGTAAAAAGCAATATTTCTTTTAATATTAGAGCTATAGTTTCGTCATTTTCTTCTTCATTATCAATTTTTGATAAGACAATTATAGCCTTTGGTGCATCCACAAAATTTTCATTTATTTTTATTTTAACTCCAACTACACAAGCTTCTTGTACTCTTTGATGTAAAAGTAAAATAGCTTCCTAAAATAATAATTTTCTAAAATATTTTTATTTTTAGACTAATTCAGTCGGCCAAACTTGATGTCCATCAACTATAATTAAATTAGAAATTCGGTCTAGAACAAAGAAAAATCCGTCATGATCTTCATAAACGATATCGCCTTTATAAAGAAAATCTTCTATAATGTCTATTAAAAATTACCAGTATGAAACCACCCATCACTATCAATCGCCTTTTTATTTAAAATAGGGTCATTTAAATATCCCTGCATAATGCTTGCTGATCGAAGCCAAAGTTCACCTTTTGTACCGGGAGAATAATTTTTATTTGAAACTAAATCCTCATTAGAAAGACAGTCCACAATCTGTGGAAGTAAAAAAATATTGTAAGAAGAGTTAACTGGACCTTATATTCAAATCCAGACAATAAACGCCCAAAAGATTTAGTAATTCTGTTATCTTTTTTATTCATCCCTAAAGGAATCATATGGCTAACCAGCACAATTTCAGTCATTCCATAACCTTTTTTAATAAATATTAGCTATTTTAAATATATTTCTGTGTTACTGTTAACAAAATTTTTTAAAGAAGAACAATAATTAATTAGTTTTTCACTAGCATTGGTTGGATCCATCCAACCACCACTTATTATTGTCTTTACTGAAGACTAAAGAATTAAAATAATTTGAGATAATTATATTGAAATAACAAACTAAATCAAATTTTTCTTTCTCTATTTCCATCTGTTCAACAATTGATGCAATCATTAATGGATTTAGTGAAAGAGTTTCTATCTAAATTAAATTAAAGGCTTTTTATTTAAAGATTTTTAAAAATTAATTTTTACTTTATTTTCCTCTACAACATTTAAATATTTAATAGGCTCAAATTCTTTCATTACTAATGAACGATGTCCAAATAATAAACAATAGCAAAGAATCCAAAGACCTAAATAAATCCTTCATTTAAATTTATTTAATCTACCAGAAGCATGGTAGAATGGCTGAGCAGCAATTGTTATACCTCTTTTACCGTTACTTATTTTGTCAAAAATTGGCCTAAAATTAAAGAAATATTATTTAAAAATTATTTATATTTTACTTGAGAATTTCAGTTGTATTAATATAATTTCGATGCGTCTAAATTAAAATCCTATATATAATTTGTGAATGGAAGGAAATTGTTTGTCACACGGCTTTTATAGTAAACTGATTTGGGGAGTGAGGAAAAGGGGGCTTTTATAGTAAAATGATTTGGGGAGTGAGGAAAAGGGGGCTTTTATAGTAAAATGATTTGGGGAGTGAGGAAAAGGGGGCTTTTATAGTAAAATGATTTGGGGAGTGAGGAAATGGGGGCTTTTATAGTAAAATGATTTGGGGAGCGAGGAAATGAAAATATCTATTTTCTTTTGAGAAGGTTGACGTAGACAGAATTGCCTCGAGGTTTTAGATACAGTTTTTGATGCTCTTTCGAATAAGCTATAGATTATGAGGAGGGTCCTTAAATTCACAGAGTTACACGGCTTTGAAGGTTTTCAAATATAAATTACAATTTACAATTCCATCTAATCTTCGAGAAAGTTTTTAACAAAATTGCCCCAAGGTTTTAGATACAGTTTTTGATGCTCTTTCGAATAAGCTATAGATTATGAGGAGGGTCCCTAAATTCATAGAGTTACACGGCTTTGAAGATTTGCAAATATAAATTAACATTTACAATTGCATCTATTTTATCTTTGAGAAAGTTTTTATAAACAAAATTGCCCCAAGGTTTTAGATACAGTTTTTGATGCTCTTTCGAATAAGCTATAGATTATGAGGAGGGTCCCTAAATTCACAGAGTTACACGGCTTTGAAGGTTTTCAAATATAAATTACAATTTACAATTCCATCTAATCTTCGAGAAAGTTTTTAACAAAATTGCCCCAAGGTTTTAGATACAGTTTTTGATGCTCTTTCGAATAAGCTATAGATTATTAGGAGGGTCCCTAAATTCACAGAGTTACACGGCTTTGAAGGTTTTCAAATATAAATTAGTATTTACAATTCCATCTAATCTTCGAGAAAGTTTTTAACAAAATTGCCCCAAGGTTTTAGATACAGTTTTTGATGCTCTTTCGAATAAGCTATAGATTATGAGGAGGGTCCCTAAATTCACAGAGTTACACGGCTTTGAAGGTTTTCAAATATAAATTACAATTTACAATTCCATCTAATCTTCGAGAAAGTTTTTAACAAAATTGCCCCAAGGTTTTAGATACAGTTTTTGATGCTCTTTCGAATAAGCTATAGATTATGAGGAGGGTCCCTAAATTCACAGAGTTACACGGCTTTGAAGGTTTTCAAATATAAATTAGTATTTACAATTCCATCTAATCTTCGAGAAAGTTTTTAACAAAATTGCCCCAAGGTTTTAGATACAGTTTTTGATGCTCTTTCGAATAAGCTATAGATTATGAGGAGGGTCCCTAAATTCACAGAGTTACACGGCTTTGAAGGTTTTCAAATATAAATTACAATTTACAATTCCATCTAATCTTCGAGAAAGTTTTTAACAAAATTGCCCCAAGGTTTTAGATACAGTTTTTGATGCTCTTTCGAATAAGCTATAGATTATGAGGAGGGTCCCTAAATTCACAGAGTTACACGGCTTTGAAGATTTTCAAATATAAATTAACATTTACAATTGCATCTATTTTATCTTTGAGAAAGTTTTTATAAACAAAATTGCCCCAAGGTTTTAGATACAGTTTTTGATGCTCTTTCGAATAAGCTATAGATTATGAGGAGGGTCCCTAAATTCACAGAGTTACACGGCTTTGAAGATTTTCAAATATAAATTAACATTTACAATTGCATCTATTTTATCTTTGAGAAAGTTTTTATAAACAAAATTGCCCCAAGGTTTTAGATACAGTTTTTGATGCTCTTTCGAATAAGCTATAGCTTATGAGGAGGGTCCCTAAATTCACAGAGTTACACGGCTTTGAAGGTTTTCAAATATAAATTACAATTTACAATTCCATCTAATCTTCGAGAAAGTTTTTAACAAAATTGCCCCAAGGTTTTAGATACAGTTTTTGATGCTCTTTCGAATAAGCTATAGATTATTAGGAGGGTCCCTAAATTCACAGAGTTACACGGCTTTGAAGGTTTTCAAATATAAATTAGTATTTACAATTCCATCTAATCTTCGAGAAAGTTTTTAACAAAATTGCCCCAAGGTTTTAGATACAGTTTTTGATGCTCTTTCGAATAAGCTATAGATTATGAGGAGGGTCCCTAAATTCACAGAGTTACACGGCTTTGAAGGTTTTCAAATATAAATTACAATTTACAATTCCATCTAATCTTCGAGAAAGTTTTTAACAAAATTGCCCCAAGGTTTTAGATACAGTTTTTGATGCTCTTTCGAATAAGCTATAGATTATGAGGAGGGTCCCTAAATTCACAGAGTTACACGGCTTTGAAGATTTTCAAATATAAATTAACATTTACAATTGCATCTATTTTATCTTTGAGAAAGTTTTTATAAACAAAATTGCCCCAAGGTTTTAGATACAGTTTTTGATGCTCTTTCGAATAAGCTATAGATTATGAGGAGGGTCCCTAAATTCACAGAGTTACACGGCTTTGAAGGTTTTCAAATATAAATTACAATTTACAATTCCATCTAATCTTCGAGAAAGTTTTTAACAAAATTGCCCCAAGGTTTTAGATACAGTTTTTGATGCTCTTTCGAATAAGCTATAGATTATGAGGAGGGTCCCTAAATTCACAGAGTTACACGGCTTTGAAGATTTTCAAATATAAATTAACATTTACAATTGCATCTATTTTATCTTTGAGAAAGTTTTTATAAACAAAATTGCCCCAAGGTTTTAGATACAGTTTTTGATGCTCTTTCGAATAAGCTATAGAATATTAGGAGGGTCCCTAAATTCACAGAGTTACACGGCTTTGAAGGTTTTCAAATATAAATTAGTATTTACAATTCCATCTAATCTTCGAGAAAGTTTTTAACAAAATTGCCCCAAGGTTTTAGATACAGTTTTTGATGCTCTTTCGAATAAGCTATAGATTATGAGGAGGGTCCCTAAATTCACAGAGTTACACGGCTTTGAAGGTTTTCAAATATAAATTACAATTTACAATTCCATCTAATCTTCGAGAAAGTTTTTAACAAAATTGCCCCAAGGTTTTAGATACAGTTTTTGATGCTCTTTCGAATAAGCTATAGATTATGAGGAGGGTCCCTAAATTCACAGAGTTACACGGCTTTGAAGGTTTTCAAATATAAATTACAATTTACAATTCCATCTAATCTTCGAGAAAGTTTTTAACAAAATTGCCCCAAGGTTTTAGATACAGTTTTTGATGCTCTTTCGAATAAGCTATAGATTATGAGGAGGGTCCCTAAATTCACAGAGTTACACGGCTTTGAAGGTTTTCAAATATAAATTAGTATTTACAATTCCATCTAATCTTCGAGAAAGTTTTTAACAAAATTGCCCCAAGGTTTTAGATACAGTTTTTGATGCTCTTTCGAATAAGCTATAGATTATGAGGAGGGTCCCTAAATTCACAGAGTTACACGGCTTTGAAGGTTTTCAAATATAAATTACAATTTACAATTCCATCTAATCTTCGAGAAAGTTTTTAACAAAATTGCCCCAAGGTTTTAGATACAGTTTTTGATGCTCTTTCGAATAAGCTATAGATTATGAGGAGGGTCCCTAAATTCACAGAGTTACACGGCTTTGAAGATTTTCAAATATAAATTAACATTTACAATTGCATCTATTTTATCTTTGAGAAAGTTTTTATAAACAAAATTGCCCCAAGGTTTTAGATACAGTTTTTGATGCTCTTTCGAATAAGCTATAGATTATGAGGAGGGTCCCTAAATTCACAGAGTTACACGGCTTTGAAGGTTTTCAAATATAAATTAACATTTACAATTGCATCTATTTTATCTTTGAGAAAGTTTTTATAAACAAAATTGCCCCAAGGTTTTAGATACAGTTTTTGATGCTCTTTCGAATAAGCTATAGATTATTAGGAGGGTCCCTAAATTCACAGAGTTACACGGCTTTGAAGATTTTCAAATATAAATTAGTATTTACAATTGCATCTATTTTATCTTTGAGAAAGTTTTTATAAACAAAATTGCCCCAAGGTTTTAGATACAGTTTTTGATGCTCTTTCGAATAAGCTATAGATTATTAGGAGGGTCCCTAAATTCACAGAGTTACACGGCTTTGAAGGTTTTCAAATATAAATTAGTATTTACAATTCCATCTAATCTTCGAGAAAGTTTTTAACAAAATTGCCCCAAGGTTTTAGATACAGTTTTTGATGCTCTTTCGAATAAGCTATAGATTATGAGGAGGGTCCCTAAATTCACAGAGTTACACGGCTTTGAAGGTTTTCAAATATAAATTACAATTTACAATTCCATCTAATCTTCGAGAAAGTTTTTAACAAAATTGCCCCAAGGTTTTAGATACAGTTTTTGATGCTCTTTCGAATAAGCTATAGATTATGAGGAGGGTCCCTAAATTCACAGAGTTACACGGCTTTGAAGGTTTTCAAATATAAATTAGTATTTACAATTCCATCTAATCTTCGAGAAAGTTTTTAACAAAATTGCCCCAAGGTTTTAGATACAGTTTTTGATGCTCTTTCGAATAAGCTATAGATTATGAGGAGGGTCCCTAAATTCACAGAGTTACACGGCTTTGAAGGTTTTCAAATATAAATTACAATTTACAATTCCATCTAATCTTCGAGAAAGTTTTTAACAAAATTGCCCCAAGGTTTTAGATACAGTTTTTGATGCTCTTTCGAATAAGCTATAGATTATGAGGAGGGTCCCTAAATTCACAGAGTTACACGGCTTTGAAGATTTTCAAATATAAATTAACATTTACAATTGCATCTATTTTATCTTTGAGAAAGTTTTTATAAACAAAATTGCCCCAAGGTTTTAGATACAGTTTTTGATGCTCTTTCGAATAAGCTATAGCTTATGAGGAGGGTCCCTAAATTCACAGAGT